AGGCAGTAAGAGGCAAACAGATGGATGCTGGAGGGACCTGCAGGGGAAGGGGGCAAGCAAATGGGCTTTCACACAGGAGCCGCTTGGGAAGAAATAGCTTGAAAAAGCAGAAAGAAATAATGAAAAGAAAAAGAAAAAAAAAAAGAAAACAAAACCCGATTTCTGCTGGAGTCGTGTTGTGCTTGGGCAAAAAGGCCTCAATGAATATTCTGTAAACACTGCATCAAAGAAATACTGAATTCTAACATCAGCCTCTTTTTGAACAGAAAGGCCCTGAAAGACCCTAGATCTCGGCCATCCCTGCAGCTCAGAGCAGGACGTTACAAAATCTCTTCAAAAAGAAAATTTGAAAGGACACTGTTTCCAAGGAGCGCTACGTATTTGTTTACGCGCTCCCACGTGCAACAGCAGCATAGGCTCCAACCACCGCCGGATGGGGGCAGCACCGGAGCGCCACCGTGGGGAGCACGCTTGGGGAAGCACCCCTTCTTTCCGCATGCGCGCTGCCGAGCAGCGGGGCCGCGCCCGAGGCCCCATCCTGCCCCCGGGATACGCTGCAGCCACCGGCGTGTTCCCGCAGCAGCGTGTCTTGGTGTACCTGTCCCGCGGAGAATCGCCTCCGTGCGCAGGCTGCGTGGACTTCGCCTGCTGTTGTCCCCATAACGCTCTTTCCCAGAGGGTCCGGAGTGTGGTGTTCTGAACTCCCCACCGGCAGCATAAATTGTGAGACGGATAGGAAAATACCCAACTGTGTGTTTGCAGAAAATAATGAACTGGAAACTGGGTGTGTGCCAGATTTCACTGTGCATTTCCCCATCCCATGTTAGAACGTCTGAGCAAACATCACTCGTGTTGTGTTTGGGGCAGTTTGGGGAATGAGATTATACCCCTTCGAGCTGCTCCTGCTACAGAGGCATAACACACACCTGCAGCTGACACTAGCCAAGAAGCAGCATCAACAAAGCAGGTCCCTAAAGCTATCAGAGGGATAGCTGCTCCTCTCCCCCTCCCCCTTTCCCCCCAGCACCACGGACCCCGCATGGGCAGGAGCTGTCACGGCCCATTAGCGCTCAAAGGAGCTGAGAAAGGTTAGGGAGGAAGACACTGCTGAGAGTTCGTGTCCTCATACAGTAAGGTTATGAAATGTATAACCAGAATGACACTGTATCGCAAGTATGCAAACAAATGTACAAGGGAATAAACTGACTTCACCTGTTTATGTGGAAGTTCAAGGACATCAAAATATAAATCACTCTATTTTGTTGGAACAGATAAGTGTACTCCTGATAGTACAAGAAAGTGTTGCTGACGCACATAATCTTTCTCTGTGCTTTTCCCATGGCTTGACTACCATCAGCTCTGTGATCCTGGCAGCAGGTAGAAGGCAACGGCCAAGCCAAACATCAGGCACATCCCTTTCAATTCTTACTCCTTATTCTCAGATTGAAACGTATTTCAAAATTAGATTTAGGCTAAGAACAAATAAAACTGTATTTCTGAAGCACATGACAAATTCTGAAATCCAGCCAACTCATGCACTCAGCCTCTCCGACTGCTTTGGGTAACCTGCCTGTGATTTGGGGGCAATACCTGAACATAGCAACATACTCACAGCACCTGGATCTCCAATCCCCCTAGCGTGAGAAAAAATTAAATATGGAACCTGCTTGTGCTGGGCTTGTAGAATCAAGCTTCCACATGCACCTGAAAACAGTTGCACGTCCCCAGAGGTAATACTTTTATCTGACCAGGTGCAGGTAATGCTGAACATTCTGGCAGTCTTCCCAAGCAAAACTCATTTGAGAGGTTCATGGCTTGCAGACCACGGCGTTGCTGATCATTGTTTGTTATCCATCCATATAGTTCAGTAACATGAGTCTAAGCACATTTGTAAATATATGAAAGGATCATATGCATTCTTTTGGCATGTAGAACCTTCAAATACTTGAAGAATGGCAGCATGAAATCAGTAAGGCTCTGTGCTGGCAAAACTCTGTGTGCTGTATCTAAACTGAACTTCACCCTTTCCATGAGCAAAGGCTGCTCTTCCCTTACCATGTCTCTGCCAGCTTAGGGTGAAAGGAGGCAACACTTGATGGCTGATGTAACTGTAGGCAAAGGCTCCTACCATGGATAGTCTGTTCTGATGTCCGACCCTTACCCAGCACAGCTTATTTTTCTTGGATGAAAAAGGAGATGGCTGGAACACGGTATGCTGGCAAAAGCAAAGTTTAGCAGTTCAAAGATGTGAATCTGAGCACTATTTTGTTGGTGTACTTCATATATTGGCAAAGCATTCCCAGCAGAGACCTCAAGCTACAAGATAAATGTGGTGAAATAGAGATGGGGCAGGGAGATACGACAAGCAAAAAGGAATGGGAGAGGTAAAACAAGATAATTTTTTTTTTTCTTTCATCATGATGGAATTATCACTTGGAGATGATTTGAGCAAATATCCTCTGGCAAATCTATTGCAATTACTTGAAGACACTACTGTCCCTATTGGTCCACCCCTGTGTCCTGCACAACTCGGTGGCACAAGAGAAGATGTGCTAATCTTTGGCCATCCAGACTCAGCCTGCCTCGCTGAAAGCCCACAGAAATCAAAACTGGGTTGCTAACACGATGCATTGCAATAGTGGAAGCATAAGACATGCCAGCTTGTAGAAACAGTGAACTGCAGCAGAGAAGTGGGATGGAGTAGTAGTGTTAGTCCATTTATTTTAATTAAAGATGCCATAATTACACTGAAAGGACTGGGAAATTTTTCCAGAATCCGTATAGTTGGGATGTAGATCAACTATGTGAAATAGGGGCACTCATTCTAGGGAGCTGGTCATAAAACAATAGGTGTGTGTTGTGTTTTTTTTTTACCTGAAGTTTATCAGTATGAAATGCTGTGCTCTGTACCAAAGTTACATGTTAAAAAAAGAAAAAAAAAAAAAAGAAGGAAAAGCACTGGTTTGTTACGCATCAGCCACCGCTAAAAATTAAATGCTACAGGTATTCTTTATACCAATGTCAATATAGAAATCAGTCTTGAATTTGAGTCTGACTTAATGCCTGTCGTACAAATTGTGTGCTCAGTTGTGCTGCGAATCACTGTATCAAAATGTTTATTGACCGTATAGTAATGAGTAACATGTATGAAAATATCATTGAGGCGAATGAATATTCATCTTCTCTAATATGTCAGATCCAGGAATGTGTGCTCAAGGTCACCGAGCATATTTCATAAACGCTTGGGCAAATCTTTCCAAATTTGCTAGGGGTTTCCAAACAGATGACTCCTGTCAGTGTGTGTGCCCGGACTGCTCGGAGGGGCAGCAGTCGCTCACCTAACTTCGCTCCCCTTAAGTCTTCCCCTTAAGACTGAGTGCAGCTCTAGGTAGAAAAGCGACAATTCCCGATTTTTCATGCGGAACTTGAGATCTGTTACGCAATCAGTACGTATCATCCGCATTTACCATTCCCTATTCCGCCCATTTTCCCAACGCGGAGCCCAGCGAGGGCTGCGAGGACAGCAGCCCCACGGGCACCCCTCCTCCTTCCCAGGGACAGCTCACAGCCTCGGCTCTCCACCGGTTCCTTTTCTCTCCCTGTCTCAAAACAAAACAAAACAACAAAAAACACAATAGAAGCAGGTGACTACCACCTCATACGTAAATGCCAGCGCTCCCCATATGACGAAGGCAGAGGTCCTCCTCCCGGAGCCGCTTTCCCTCAGCCTGCCGGTGCTGCGGTCGCAGTGGTCTTCCCCAGCCTTCCCCGTTCTGCTGTTGATTTCTAACCGGGTTACGATGACCCGGGCAGCGGGCGGGAGGGAGCGCGGGGAGCACCTCCCTACCAGCACTTTCCTCATTTTTTTTTCGTTTTTCTCCTTTATTCTCGTCTTTTTCTCGCTTCGCGACGGCCCTAACCCCCACGTCCCTCCTCCTCCCCCCCCGGGCATGTGCATCAGACAGCCCCCTCGGGGCCCCCTCCCGCCGTTCCTCCTTCGGGAGGAGAAAGGAGCCCATTGATCCCGGCGCACCAACGGGAGGCCCCAGGGGGCCGCGCGGGCTGAGGTGTGTGGAGGCGGGAAGGGGGCGGGGGGGCCGGCACGCGCGACCCCCGCCTCAACGGGAGAACTGCTTTGTGCATCTCCGCCCGCCGCACGCAGATAGGCGCTGGGGGAGGGATGCGCACCCGCCAGGTGGAGGGACTGCGAGCGTGGGCGCTGCGTGCGTGCGTGGGGAGGGCTGACGCACGCACACACGCGCGCGTGTGAGGGGGGGACCGCGCGCACACGCCCGGAAGCTCCGCCGCGGGGGGG